ATTCGATATTCGTGACTAGTTCTCAAAGTGAAAAATAACAAAAAGGAACAATGAAGAAAAACAAGAACCATTGGATCTTTTGCAAGTACTACCTCTTCTTGGTGCCTGCGGCCCACATAAAGCTTCTCCCAGTTAGCCCGTATGAAAACGGTACTTTTGCGCCGATACGCGGCCCATCCAAGCCCGACTTGACTGCCGGCCGGCGACGGGAAATCGGCCTCGCCAATCTCTCGCCGGCTTCCCTCCGCCCCTGCCCAACGGCGTCTGCGGCGGCGCTCGCGTCAGATCGCAACCAAGAAGAGGTGATCTGCCCGCGCTGCTCTGCTCGGCCCGGTGGAGGCGGACCTGCGGCAGCGGCGGCGATGGAGAAGGGAGGGGAGGCGGGAGGCGGCAGGCCGGAGTACAGCATCATCGTGCCCACCTACAACGAGCGCCTCAACATCGCCCTCATCGTCTACCTCATCTTCAAGCACCCCCCGTAATCTCCCATCAATCACCCACCTCCGTGCATCCTCTTTTAGTTCTTTCGGTAGTTGAGATCTTTGTTGACGGAGGTCGTTTGTGATCCGGATAGGTTCCAAGCCTGCTCAGATTTTCTGCTGTGTAGATAAACCTGGGGCGGGGTGCGTGATTGAAGCTTTCGTTTAAAGGCTAGTACTGCTAATGGCTCTGGGGCTCTCCAATTCCCCACTCACGTAGTGCAACTGTATAAGACCCCTTTGGAACTAACTAGTATTGCATTCGATTCAGGCCATGAGATATGGTTGTGATCGCTGTCGCATCTCATCATGTGTAGCTGGCAAATGCTAGTGATCCTGTGATCCAGAAAGATTCCAAGCCGGCTCAGATTTTCTCTTCTGTAGAATAAACCTTGGGCGGGGTGCGCCCACATCAACTGAAAATTTTGTTGCTAATTGCTATGAGGTTCGCAGCCCAGGTTAAGCAGAAAATTCAGTAGCTATTAGTTCATTCTATACTCACATGTCGCAACTTTACAACACCTCTGCAATTGCCTATTGTGTTTGATTCGGACCTGGACCATGAGATATGCTCATTGTCGCTTTTTAGAGGTATGTAGATGCTAAATGCTAGTGGTGCCGTGTTCAGAGGAATTGAGTCTCTGTTGTCCACTTTATCTTGTGAGAAGAACTCTCAAAGAACATCAGAGCAAGGTGAAAGTGTCATAAGACGATTTCAAAAATAGTTTCTACGGTTCGGCCCGGTTTCCCTTATAAACGGGGTCAATTTGTTTAGGTTTTCGATCCTGTTTCCCTTATAAACGGGATCAGCCAAAGTTAAGGGGTGACTCTTGGCTTTGGCAGCTTTTTGAGCAATATATTCAGGTGGGGATCCTCTCCCCCCCGGTGACCGTTCAAAAAAAATAAATAGTTTCTGCTTCTTGTTATTTTGTCGAAGACTAGGAAGTTATTCAGAGTTATCCAAAGTATATCTGGTCCTGTCAATGTGCTTAGCTGGTTTCAGTTAGCACTTAACAGTGTTCATACCCTAGATTGTAGTGCTGGTGTCAACTGGTTAGCTCTGAATAACTTCCTAGTTGGTATGACTACACCATCTTATTTTTAGATTTGATAAAATCAGATTTCTCTGAATCTTACAAGCGCTGGCTCTTTTTGTATTCACATTATCTGTAGCGGTTTTTTAGAATCCATCACGCAGCACATTTATTTGTAGCATCCAACATGTTTTCTGTTGCTGTTGTATACACATAGTATTTGGTCAGTATTACAACATGTTCTGTTGGTTCTGTATACTCTTATTATATTTAGCATGATGTTGGTGTATTTCAAATCACAAGGCTGTTGCATTTATTTACTTAACTTTAACTGATGATGTAACTTTCTACTGTAGGGATGCCAAGTTCGAAATCATTATTGTGGATGATGGAAGCCCCGATGGAACTCAAGACATTGTAAAGCAGCTGCAGCAAGTATATGGCGAAGATCGTGTTGTAAGTAATTTAACAAACATGTTGATGTATGAGTTTATGTATATATTTGTGGTCCAAGTTTTGGTTATTAATGACTTACTGCAATGTTTTTTACCTGATATAATTCCAGCTACTGCGAGCTAGACCAAGGAAGCTAGGACTTGGTGAGCTTAGCTGCCCATTTCTACCTATGGTGATTGTTATGCTTGATGTTTGTGTTAATGAACTACTGTAAACATTCAGGTACTGCATATATGCATGGATTAAAGCATGCTTCAGGGGAGTTCGTTGTTATAATGGATGCAGATCTATCTCATCATGTATGTTTCTTCTCATTTTCTTCTCTATGTTATTTGGCATAGTTGAGTATTTAAATAGTTCTGTTCCTTTTAGTTACTGATTCCTTTTTCTGTTCTGAACAGCCGAAGTATTTGCCAAGCTTCATCAGGTGAGAATCATATACTGAAAGATGCTTTTAACTTTATCCGGCAAGAATGATTGGATTAGTATGCTTTGTATTTTATGTTATTGAGGAAACTGGCAGGACTGGTGAGTCTCTAGTAGCAGAAGAGAGAAACATAATTACAGTGGCTGTTTTCAACAGTAACATCACAGAGTTCACATGTAGAGTGGCTCCTGTCGGTGTCAATCAAGGCCACATTAAGCACTTCCACATATTGTGGGTGGCGTAGGAGACATCCCTATTTTCAGTGGGGGTCTTAATTACCCGTGCTTAGCAATTTGCCTGACCATCAAATTAAATGTGAATAAACCACTCCACAGACCAAAAAATATCACCAAGATGGACGGAGGCACTCCTTCCGGCCACCGAGAGAATCCAATTCTGACCTTCTAATACCTTCTTTTTTCTATTCTTCCTGGCTGCCAATTAGTACAGGACCAGGGTGCAGTCGCAAATAGGGATCCCTCCAACCCAATTGCTCTGCATAAGATGCAAGGGTAGCGCCACAGTCATGGTGGCGCCTCCACTTGATTGCTCGCTCTCACTCTGCCGCTGCATCCCTTCTTTCTTGGTTCCTCTATGGACATGTGTTCTTGATTGCTCGCTCTCACTCTGCCGCTGCATCCCTTCTTTCTTGGATCCTCTATGGACATGTGTTCTTGTGCGCTTTGTTTCTAGATAGATACAGATATAATTGTGTGGCAGTGAGGAGAAATTGAAAGGCCGGTCTTACAGCTGCCTCCAAACACGGATGATCGATATCCTCTCGTCGTCGTTCTGGGATGGTAGTAGCATGATGTGATGTGATTCGGCGAAAGGTTTTCTCTGAGCCATTCTCCCCAGCTGTTTATATAGGCTGGCATGGGCACTGACACTGCCCTACTGTATGCTTTGTAAATATTAAGTGCACATTTATACTCCCTCTGTTCCTAAATATAAGTCTTTTTAGAGATTTCAATAAGAACAACATACGGATGTATGTAGACATATTTTAGAGTCCGCATTTTGCTCCATATGTAGTCCGCATTGGAATCTCTAAAAAGACTTATATTTACGAACGGAGGGAGTAAAATATAAATTTTTCTATTTACTCTGTTCTGTTTTGACTGGTCTCTTCTCTTCGGCAAAATATGTCTTAATTAGCCAGTTTGCTCTTGTCAGGCCTAGAAATGGAATTTTGGCTAACAAAGACATAGATATGTACCTTGTTGAGTGTTAGTTGTTTGATTTAATGGCTGAAACAACTTCAGAGAAGTTTGGTATAGCTGACTATCCAAGCTCACAAAAACAGTTACTTGGAAGAACCTATATAGCTTTGTAAATCATGTTCATCATTGGCCAGGAAGCAAAAGGAAACCGGTGCTGACATTGTAACTGGCACCCGTTATGTTAGCAACGGCGGTGTCCATGGTTGGAATCTTATGCGGAAGTTGACCAGCAGGGGAGCAAATGTTCTGGCACAGACGTTGCTACAGCCTGGAGCTTCTGATCTGACTGGATCATTTAGGTGTGTCTCATTTTATTTAATAAATATGGAATAAGATCCCAATAATTACTTTTATTTGATGCTTCGCCCGATTTCCTAGGCTATATAAGCGAAGTGTTTTGGAGGATGTCATCTCCTCCTGCGTCAGCAAGGGCTATGTATTCCAAATGGAGATGATTGTCAGGGCTACTAGGAAAGGTTATCACATTGAAGAGGTAAGCCATTTCGCGCTCACCCATTTTCATTTGTGTAAGGCTGGATTATAATCTCTTGGCTTTGATAGTTGTAACTTTGCTTCTCATGTCCAGGTCCCAATCACTTTCGTTGACAGGGTCTTCGGAATCTCAAAGCTCGGTGGCTCCGAAATTGTTGGATATTTGAAAGGCCTTGTGTATCTGTTGCTCACAACATAGGTCGAGAAGACACTGCATGCATGATTGTTCTAGGACAAACTCTTGTTAGAGTGATTTTTCTTATGTTTTCACAGCTTGAACTGCATAATTGTACTAATGTTTTCAGACCTACAATTGAATTATATACACTAGTTTTGGTCTGTGAGTATCCATATATGAATTGTGTCCTGTGACTAATGTATCATGGCATAGTGGTTGGCCATCTGGTTGCGCTGAAACTGCCGGCTTGGCTGCTTACTGTGTAGTTGCATGGGTTGATCATCCATGGGATTGCTGATTCAACTGCTACCTTGAAGAACTATATGCCTGTATATCAATGAACATTCCTCTTGCAGTTATCATGCAAGTTTAATGGATGGACGGCACATAAACAAGAAGACAGGAAACACATGAGCAGTTTTCATATGTTTCATTCAACTGATCCTAAGTGTGTAATAATGCCCGAAGGAAAAGATTCACAGAACACACATATCTTGTCTTCCATCTCAGAGCACCCTTATTTAGTGCAACGCAGAAATATGTAAAAACTGAGAGCACTTAAAGAGATATGATCATCCAAATCCTGAATCTATATTACATCAAAGGAACCGCCTGGAAATCAGTCCCAGAAAACATAACCACAAGTCGAGATTTTTTGTAGGTCCTTTTGGTTGGTAATAATCCCCGACACTAACTTGCCGTCCTTCCTTCTCAATCTTCATTCTTCTCCTTTTCTTTTTCTAGCTTCTGTAACACACCCAAAAGAAGTTAGAATGCATTTCAGAACAGGTTGCACAATGACATTGAATGCAGCAAATATCAGAGAACAAAATGACTTAGAAACACGAGTTGCTGCTGCGTCAGTTTTGTGTATGTACCAAAAAAGATGACTAAGTTAAGCCCACAACTATTGCCTATAATTCCTCACTATCTAAGCTGCATTTTATCATCAGCGGGTGCTGCAATCATTTCCTTTCAGCAAATAATGAATGATTTACTGAACCAGATCAAATTTACATATAACAACATGGTGTCACAAATATAGGTTTCCATTTTTAAGCTTAGGCCAGATACATCGAGAAGAGCCAACAGGTTTACTACTCGTCCCGTCATCCTTCATTCTGTACCCTAAGAAACACCGATCCGTCCTGGGCATAGTGAATCCATATCAGATACCATCCCTCCCTGATATGTGGCTGATACATATCAGTAAAGTATCCACGGCTAAAGCAACAAAAACAAAGAAGTTAATTCCCAAATGCGTGCTGGATACTTCCCATGATACTTCCCCCGGATACGACCCAGCCCAGTAAGACTCGACCCTACTTATCCCGATACCCTGTCCAGCGCAATCCCTCCCTGATTCCTTTCCCTCCCGAGCTAAACGGCAGCTGCGGCAGGCCGGAGGCGAGCATGCAGAGGGCTCCTGCGGTCCTGCTCCAGTCCTACTAGTTCCCTCCTCACCTCCTCCCTGTCATCCCCGACTCCCCCTCTCGGTCACTCACGCAGCGGCAGCTGGCTGCAGCAGCAAGGTATGCTCCTGCTCTTGCTCCCTTTCTCTCTAATGCTACTGATGTTGATGTACCAGTACCATAGACCGTGTCTCACAAGGTCACTTCTCAAGGCTGACTAGCTCTTTGTTATCTAAATGCAGCAGCCAGCGGCGAGGCAGTGGTGGGCTCAGGGCTCCTGCAACAGCTCACTGGCAGCAAGCCATTGTCAGCTCCTCGCCTCATCCCCCTCTCAGTCTCTAGCAGCAGCGGCAGCAGGGCATGCTTTCTGCTCTCCGGTGCTCGCTTCATCTTCCTCCCTCTCCAGTAGAGTAGTCCTGTTGCTCTCTTGACCAATATTAAACTTTTAAGTTTGCTAACTTGTTGTTTGACTGTTGGTTCTTGGCTTTCGTTAGAATCATGCATAAGAAGATAAAAGAGAATGGACTGCAGTAACTGCACTGAGTAAAAACATGCTTAATGGTTGAATGCTTAATTAATAACATATATTTATTAGTAATATTTTCTAAAAGTCAAACGTATCCCTGTATTGGCGCTTTTAAAAAATGACGTATTTACGTATCCGCATCGCCCCGTTACTATACCCATATCCATATCGCCCTGATACTGATACTGAACCCATATTCATATCGGTGCATTTTTGTCTGTAGCTCACATAAAAAACAAAATGACCTTTATAGAACACCTGATTATTCAGTCACATTGAAGGTTAAGAATATTGTGATGATACTGACCAGCTCAATTTAAATATATTAAAGCTCACAATTTGATGAACACGGTTCCATTACGGCCATACGCCTCACATAAAACTGCACCAAATTCTCAGTCTACACAAGAACCCAGATAATCTGTGGCCATGATATTCTAAATACAATGAGCATGGTCGCGGCACTAGACACTAAAGGAGTATCTAAAAGAAGTTCCCATTTGCTGCCCAAGTAAAAGCAGGCGTGCATGGGATTCAGCCTAAAAAATACAGATCCCTCTTTCAAGAGCAGAATATATTGTTACTCAACCAACATTGTGAATATATGTGATCCTCCATTACTGCAATTAACACCAATAACCACAGGGATCCCTGACTTAGGTACAAAATGACATGAGCAAAACAGCAAAACACACAGGACGATATGGCTAGGAAATCTCAGGTTTCCCCCACTGTAAACATGGAAGAAGCGCATAGCCACACACACACACACACATGGACAGAGATCCATGGATCATGCCCTGCCAGCAACGCGGCACCTAATCACACGCCTGCGTCCACCCTCTCACGCGCCAACACACCCGTCCCCGCATCTCCCGTCAGAGCGCAACCACGCATTCAACCAGTACACAAACGGTATAAATCTGCTCCGATTTCGCAGGCCAAAGGAGGGGATGTATTCGGCACGACTAAAGCAGCAGGGCGAGTCGGGAGAGGAATCTGCCCCCCACCAAGGGCTCATACATAACGGGTCGAGAATACGGGGGCAGGATTGGGGCGGGCGGCGCTTACGGATTGCTCGGAGTGCCAGGCGAGGCCGCGGTAGACGTTGAAGGAGAAGGAGCCGGCCAGGTAGAGCGTCGCGACGCCCAGCCCCGCCGTCAGCACCTTGAACGCCGTGTCCATCACCGCCATCTCCGCCGCCTTCTCTTCCTCGCCGCCGGGATGTTGGAGCGCAGAAACCCTCGTCGCCCGATTCCGTTGGTCTGCGTGCGTGCCACGAGAGGAGAAACCTCGAGTTGGCCTACTAGTTCGGGCTGTGGGCTGTGGGCCTCTGGGTGGGTGAATGCTGGGCATGTGTGCGGCCTGGCCCAACATATAGCGCCTGTCCCAGAACTAGTTTAGAAGGCTCAACAAATTTAGTAGGCTTCCCTAAAAAAAACAAATTTAGTAGGCGGCTTATCTTTTATTCTGTGGAGGGGTAGCTTATTTTTTTAAGACGCCCAAAAGAATTGGCCCGAATCAGCTTAAATTCGTAGTACTTGTGAAGTTTTATAGGCTAATTAGTTTGATGCTAATATTTGGCATTGCCAATACTTGGCAATATCAAAAAGTTACCAAATATTGACAACTTCTTATGATGTTGACAAGTAAAATTGGTAATCAACCAAACACTAGTCAATATTCAAATGTTGGCACACAAATTATGCTCATCAAACCAATCATGCTCTTAAGTTCGGAATCTAACTATGTTTCTCGTTTTCAAACTCAAGAAAACATACATTTCCAAAATGAACTCAGGACAAGAGTAGTGTCGCTGTGGAACTACAGGAGAACCGTCCCCACAAAAATAAAATTACAACAAAGTCTTTGACAGGGGCGATTGTTGAACTAATGCCAAGCATGTTGTCGTCTTCCTTCAACGTTGTCGTCAGAGGTAGACCAAAAGACTGTCGGTGCCTAATCGCATCGAAGCTTTCAGAACTGAATAAAGGACCTCCACGAACAGTGGAGCACTTATATTTGTGGAACATTAGTTAGGGGACAACCGTGAACGTCGTTGGCCCTGTAACAACCATCTTTGCTTGATTTTGTCGAAGAAGAAAGGCAAAACTGCCAACCAACAAACCGGAGCCCTGCCCTGCATTGGAGAGGTTGTCGTCCAGAACGCTAGATCCTACTGAAAGTGCGTTATGTCGACTAGAGGGGGGCTGAATAGGCGATTTTTATGAATTCTTCACTGAGGATTTCAGTGTGAGGAAATTGAAGGAAATATGCCCTAGAGGCAATAATAAAGTTGTTATTTATATTTCCTTATATCGTGATAAATGTTTATTATTCATGCTAGAATTGTATTAACCGGAAACTTAGTACAGGTGTGAATACATAGACAAACATAATGTCACTAGTATGCCTCTACTTGACTAGCTCGTTGAATAAAAAATGGTTGTGTTTCCTAACCATAGACATGAGTTGTCATTTGATTAACGGGGTCACATCATTGGAGAATGATGTGATTGACTTGACCCATTCCGTTAGCTTAGCACTCGATCGTTTAGTATGTTGCTATTGCTTTCTTCATGACTTATACATGTTCCTATGACTATGAGATTATGCAACTCCCGAATACCGGAGGAACACTTTGTGTGCTACCAAATGTCACAACGTAACTGGGTGATTATAAAGGTGCTCTACAGGTGTCTCCGATGGTACTTGTTGAGTTGGCATAGATTGAGATTAGGATTTGTCACTTCGATTGTCGGAGAGGTATCTCTGGACCCTCTCGGTAATGTACATCACTATAAGCCTTGCAAGCAATGTAACTAATGAGTTAGTTGCGGGATGATGCATTACAGAACGAGTAAAGAGACTTACCGGTAACAAGATTGAACTAGGTATTGAGATACCGACGATCGAATCTCAGGCAAGTAACATATCGATAACAAAAGGAACGACGTATCTTGTTATATGGTTTGACCGATAAAGATCTTCATAGAATATGTGGGAGCCAATATGAGCATCCAGGTTCCGCTATTGGTTATTGACCGGAGACGTGTCTCGGTCATGTCTACATAGTTCTCGAACCCGTAGGGTCCGCACGCTTAAAGTTCGGTGACGATTTATATTATGAGTTATGTGTTTTGATGTACCGAAGGTAGTTCGCAGTCCCGGATGAGATCGGGGACATGACGAGGAGTCTCAAAATGGCCGAGACGTAAAGATCGATATATTGGACAACTATATTCGGACATCGGAAAGGTTCCGAGTGATTCGGGTATTTATCGGAGTACCGGAGAGTTACGGGAATTCGCCGGGGAGTATATGGGCCTTATTGGGCTTTAAGGGAGAGAGAGAGAGAGAGGTAGGCCGCGCGCCCCCCAAGGCCTAGTCCGAATTGGACTAGGGGGAGGGGCGGTGCCCCCTCCTTCCTTCTCTTCTCTCTTCCCTTTCCTTGACTCCTACTCCTACTACATGGAAGGGGAGGATCCTACACCCGGTGGGACTAGGACTCCCCAGGGCGCGCCATAGAGAGGGCCGGCCCCTCCCCTCCTCCACTCCTTTATATACGGGCAGGGGGGGCACCCCACAGAGACAAGTTGATCATTGATCTTTAGCCGTGTGTGGTGCCCTCCTCCACCATAATCCACCTCGATCATATCGTAGCGGTGCTTAGGCGAAGCCCTGCGTCGATAGCTTCATCAACACCGTCATCACACCATCGTGCTGATGGAACTCTCCCTCGAAGCTCTACTGGATCGTGAGTTCGTGGGACGTCACTGAGCTGAACGTGTGCAGACCGTGGAGGTGCCGTACGTTCGGTACTTGGATCGGTCCATCGTGAAGACGTACGACTACATCAACCGCATTGTCATAACGCTTCCGCTTACGGTCTACGAGGATACGTGGAAGACACTCCTCCCTCTCGTTGCTATGCATCACCATGATCTTGCGTGTGCGTAGGAATTTTTTTGAAATTACTACGTTTCCCAACAGTGGCATCCGAGCCAGGTTTATGCGTAGATGTTATATGCACGAGTAGAACACAAGTGAGTTGTGGGCGATACAAGTCATACTGCTTATCAGCATGTCATACTTTGGTTCGGCGGTATTGTTGGATGAAGCGGCCCGGACCGACATTACGCGTACGCTTACATGAGACTGGTTCTACCGACGTGCTTTGCACACAGGTGGCTGGTGGATGTCAGTTTCTCCAACTTTAGTTGAATCGAGTGTGGCTACGCCCGATCCTTGTTGAAGGTTAAAACATCACTAACTTGACGAAATATCATTGTGGTTTTGATGCATAGGTAAGAACTGTTCTTGCTCAGCCCGTAGCAACCACGTAAAAATTTGCAACAACAAAGTAGAAGACGTCTAACTTGTTTTGCAGGGCATGTTGTGATGTGATATGGTCAAGACATGATGCTAAATTTTATTGTATGAGATGATCATATTTTGTAACAGAGTTATCGGCAACTCGTAGGAGCCATACGATTGTCTTTTTATTGTTGGCAATGCAACCGCCCTGTACTTGCTTTACTTTATCACTAAGCAGTAGCGATAGTCGTAGAAGCAATAGTTGGCGAGATGACAACGATGCTACGATGGAGATCAAGGTGTCGCACCAGTGACGATGGTGATCATGACGGTGCTGAAAGTGCATTATATCGACTAGAGGGGGGTGAATAGGCGATTTTTATGACTTCTTCACTGAGGAATTTGCCGGTGAGGAAATTCCTTAGCGAATAACTACTTGCAGTGGAATAAGTACTCAAGAGTAAGCATAACAAAATACAGGCATGGTCATCATGATGAAATGAAGACAAGCACAGAGTACAGAAAGCGTAATCACAGGATAACACAAGATGAAGACAAACAGACTGAAGAAATTGAACTAAGGAAATTGAGAAAGTCTTCAGTCAAAGTCTTCAAACACAGATATGAACAATCACTCAACACAGTAATGAGGAAATGAAAGAGTTGAGGAAATAGAACCAGTAGGGTTGGTGAAGACAATGATTTGGTAGACCAGTTCCAACTGCTGTCTCAGTTGTACATCTGGTTGGAGCGGCTGAGTATTTAAAATCGAGGACACACAGTCCCAGACACCCAGTTGCTGAGCACGCAACTAAGGACACCAAGTCCTCACCGTATTCTCCTTGAACTAAGGTCACACAGACCTCGTCCAATCACTCGTGGTAAGTCTTCAGGCGACTTCCAAACCTTCACAGACTTCGGTCACTCGGCGATCCACAATTCCTCTTGGATGCTCTAGACCATGACGCCTAACCGTCTGGAAGAAGCACAGTCTTCAAAGGTAACAAGCGTCGGATCCACGTAGGATCAATCTCTTCAGTGATGCTCAATCACTTTGGGTTTGTGGGTGTTTGGGTTTGGATTTTCCTCACTCGATGATTCGCTCAAAGTCCTCGGAGGATGGGTTGCTCTCAAATGACAAGTGTCAGTTTCTCTCGGAGCAGCCAACCAGCTAGTGGTTGTAGGGGGCGGCTATTTATAGCCTAGGGAGCAGCCCGACATGATAAGACATAAATGCACTTCATTGATATGACCGTTATGTGGATAAGATATTTTGGGATAGCTGGCGCGTAGCACAACAACGGTCGGAAATTTGACTCTCAAATTCCTCAGGGCTATCATGTTCCTCACTGTGTAGGCAATCTGCACTGGCGAATTCCTAACTCCTCAGTCAGAACAAATTCCTCAGCGACCAGAAGAACTTCGTCTCTGTCTCTGAAGAAATTGACTGAACTGTATGAGATTTCCAATGGCTTCACTCGAAGGGATTGGTAGGTGTAGGATTTTGAGTTGAGCATCACATGGAAATTTTTCCTTTAGTATTTCCTCGACCCCCTTTAATAGTACGGTGTTTCCTATGACGCAAGAAAGAGAAAAACAAAACTATGAAAACGAAAGTCTTCAAGCTTCATATTCCTCGCATGAATATCAAGTCTTCACGGACACACCAATTTCTTCACTTTCAAAGTCTTCATGAAAGTCTTCAGAAATACCAGAATCTTCAGTCGAAGATATTCATTTTAGGGGTCGACTTTCTCTGTAAATATCAAACTCCTCATAGACTTATAGACCTGTGTACACTCATAAACACATTAGATCCTTAACCTATAAGTCTTCAATACACCAAAATCACTAAGGGGCACTAGATGCACTTACAATCTCCCCCTTTTTGGTGATTGATGACAATATAGGTTAAGTTTTCAACGGGGATAAACATATGAAGTGTAAGTACTGATATTGACGAATTTGATAGCAAGATATAGAAGAAATCCCCCTGAAGATGTGCATAGCGAGGAATTTGCTTTTGAAGCAATGCACACTTGAAGAGTTGAATCATGGAG